TGGCAGCCCTCGCCCTCCCAGCCTGGGATGCCGGCCCGGAAACAATTGCTCCATTATCCCGCAGGGGCTGGAGCGAGGGCCGGCTCCTCCGCCAGCGGGAAGAGGAGAGGGCTGCAATCCCCGGCAGTGAAACCACGACTTCCATTCAAACTTGCTCCATCCCCTTTATTTCCCCCCATCCACACACCCACTTTTAATCCCCCCGGGTTGCAAAGGCTCCCCCGGGGACACGGGGTGCTGGGACTACAGGGATAGCTCGGGCAGAGGAAGCCGAGCTTGCACACACGACATCTGCCAGCTCCTGGCATCGCAGCTCAGCGCTTAAAGAGGAAGAGGTAAAGCGAGCCCGGACACAGCGGTTACACGCTGCGAGCCGGAGCGCTTGATGCAAAGCAAAGGGGCAGCAAGGATTCAAAGGCACCGGTATCGTTTCTCGCCTGCGCACCCCACTCGCTCCAACAGTGGAATTTAATCTGTGACAACCGTGCAAATCCTTGCGTGGCCCTGATTCCCGCTTCTCTCCCAAGCATCCGCGTGATTCCCCGCTCGGAGGTGAGCCAAGGGCCAGGGCAGGATACAGCCCCAGCAGCCGGGATGGGGCCAGGAGTTGCCTCCCACTGGGGTGGGTGCAAGCACCCGGAGCTGCCCGTGGGATGAAGGCACCCATCGCCCCAGCCTGGCTGGCTCCCTTGCCCAGCTAGCCTGGCCAGCGGCCCCCCTCGCTGCCTGCCACCCACCCACAGCCCCATTGCCAGCCCAGCTTCCAGGCAAGCAGCTGGACTCAGGAATGCAGCCGGATTCCTCGGCTTAACCCCTGCGCAGCCGCCCGGAAAACACCACAGCCCCACAGCACCCGTCCCCTCCGCCGCTCCCCCCATCACCCCTGCACCCATCCAGCCCCACCCGTGCCCCCTTCCCGGCCACGCTCCTGCTTCCCCTCTCCTTCCATTTCTCCCACCGGCACTTTTCCGTGGCCACGCTTGCTAAAGGCCCCCGGGCCCATCCCCCCCCCCCCGGTGCCCGCTTGTCCCTCGTGCCCACGGATGCTCAGCTCCTGGGTACCGCCACTTTGCCAGCGAAGCTGAACATAAGCCGATTTGCTGATTTTCAGCCCTAAATAAGGGCTGATTTGTGCCTGTCTGGCCCCAAACGAGTCCCTGTCCCACGGCAGAGCCCGGTGAGGGCACTCACCAGCTCCTCCAGCTCAGCCAGGTGCTTCTCCGTGATGATCTGCTGGCAGTAGCTGTTCTGCTCCGTCTCATGGATGCTGCAGACGAGGAGGAGGAGGAGGGACGACAGCAGGGTGCAGCGGAGCAGGCACACCTGAGCATGGCACAGCAAAGGCTTGGATGCCCTTCCCCACCACCCCCAGAGGGGCCACCTTTGCGGCGGACAGGGCCTGACAACCCCACCACGGTCCTCCAACCCCACACCCATCCCCATCCCGCTATTTTTAGAAGCGCCAGGTCAGCGGGGAATTTCCCGGTGCCCTGCGTGGCCAGGACCCGGCTGGCACAAGCCTGGAAGTGGCTCTCGGCCACCTCCACATTCCCCATCCAGCCCTCATTCCCAGTCCCGCACCATTTCTCCGTCTCTCCTGCAAGTCGTCTTCTCCTCCACCCCGGCTCCAGGGAGCTATGTGATGCACTGACCCACCCAGCCCCAAAAATCCTCTTCCCACCCTCTGGACCCCTCCAGCCTCCAGCGTCTGCACCCGCCGGGCTCTTTCCATCCAGCAGCTCTGGCGTTGCCCCAAATTCCCCTCCCAATCCCCCTTGCAAAGAAGCAGGGAGGCCCCGAATCGTGGCAGCACCCCGGTGGGCAACGGGGCTTGTCCCGGGGCCAAGACCCCCGGGGTGGGGATGGAGCAGACCCCCGGGGGGGGTGCGTGTGTGCTGCCCCCCCCCTCCCCGGTACACCGGCACCGAGAGGGTGCCTGGGTGATGGAGGGAGGGGGAATTTCCCTTGGAGGTTGTCCAGAAATCCTCCCCTCTTGTGAAACTGCAAAATGCCGCCGGGGCCACCGCCGAGACACGGCCACGGCCGGGGGGGGGCCCG